TGTTTCATTGAAAAATATTCAGTCATTTTGACATCTAACATATGAAAAGTCAAGTAATATACGATTTATTCTCGCTAAATGACGCTTAGATTGAGTTTTCTTTTTACAATATCGACATTTGATAAAATTATTTATGTTTTCTGAAGAACTATAAATGTACATGTATGTCATCCAGGTGCATACATGACATTTTCTCTGTATAGAAATGTTACAAAGAAAATTCAACTATAGAGAAGCTAGTGGTAGAACTACAATGATAGATCCATCAACTAATTGCATGATCGTGATAGGTATTAGCATTTTCTTAATACAAAGTTAACACTAATACCAAAGCATTAAGTTATTTTTTTAAGACTAATGCAAAAGTATTAACTGAGTTATTTAACTTTAATACAAAAGTATTAAAAATAGTATTAATTAATGCAATACTAATGCTAAGACGACACCCCTAGTTGTATTGATAAGACGTTCTTAATGCACCATCTTAGGCTGTAAGGCAAGCATGTTGCTTCACAATATTCCAAGGATGGGTAAGTCTCAAGGTCGTCACGAATATCCTGCTATTTTCATTCCAAACGCCTTGTGCTTTTCATTACGATTACCCTGTCTTCGTCATTATGAACTTTCGGACTATCTTATTCCGATCTTGAGTCAATATCTCCTTGTTCAGCTGCTACCAATGGGTTGTCAGAGTTCGTTACGAACTCCCGAACTCGTCTCATTCCGAACATCCTGTTTTTTGTTGTATTTCGTTGACTTTTGTCATTAAGAATTCCATTCCGAACACCCTGTCATTTTTCTTATGACCGGAGATCGTAACGGACTATTACAACCAGAGTTCGTAATGGAAAGATGAGACGAAGTATCACTTTCCCAGCATCTACACGTCAACCCTCACATATCTTCACACCCACAGACCAACAAAGTTCCAAACCCTTAGCGCTGGCTGACACTTAATACGTCGATGCAGAAAAGGGCAGGTAAACTTCATAGTACTACTTAGGTCTGACCAAAAGTTTCGAGAATATTAAGTAAAAATATAAAGATACAGAGACATTTTCAATTTTATTTTATCAAATGTTGAGGTCAAGTTTTGTTCTATGCTACTTTTCACGACTTAAGAAGAGTACACCCAAAATAGCCATTTAACTCAGAAACCACTATGCATAAAGAGGAATCCGTCAATATCGCTCAAATTAGATTGACTGCCGGAGGCGTGCAAAGAGTATCTTATCACATTACGACGTACTAAAACACTCATCCCATTAGGTCACGCTCCGATTCGTGTCTACAACGATAATCTGAAGAGACTATCGCAACTAGACAGCAAAAGCAGACTTCAGATATGCAGAATAATTTTCCATATTCCGAATTTCCCTTTTTTCCAAATGCCTTTCTCTCAAAAACATTTTGCTTTTACCTTAGACAACAGTTCAGAGAGTAAAGGTATGATCTTTTCATGGAAATAAATATTTGATTTTCTAAATAGCTGAATTCAGGTTCAAATTCCCCAACCCCAATTTACTTCCGTCTACCTTTATAAAATTTCATTATTTCCATAAAAATCCTTCCCTTGACCCTAGAAACTCTTTTCAAAATTTTGAGAAACTGACTTCAGATTCGGATTCTGCGACCCCGATTTACTTTCGTCAACCTTTATAAAATATCGATATTTTCTCAAAAAATCCTTTCCTTTATCCAAAAAACTCAATTCAAAATTTCGAGAAACTGACTTCAGATTCGGATTGCCCGACCTCAATTTACTTTCGGCAGCCTTTATAAGAACGAACTTTAAATGGATGTCTTTTTGACCCTGATGTTCTTTTGACCCTGACACAAACATACACACACACAACCCGTTTTTTTTCATATGACTCTCCCTACAGTCGAGGGAATGAAATTGTCGATTATTTTTATAAAACTATTGAGAATATTATGAAAAAAGTAACAGAAATTAAACGAAAACGTGTATCATTACCATCAGTTTGATCATTTAGGGGTGCACCAGTGCCAGTAACTGGGTCCCAATCGGACTGGGTATCCAGTCGGACTGGGTACCCAGTTCGACTGGTACCCAGTCCGACTGAATACCCCAGTCCGACTGGGTAAAACTTCGAGTTCTAGCAAAAATACCTATGGATTCTTGTTTTATGAATTCTCATTGTCATTCGATGTAAGGCCCAGTCGGACTGGGTGTGTACCCAGTCCGACTGGGCCTTACATCGAACGATACTTACTTTACATAGAACAAGAATCTATAGGTATTTTTGCTAGAACTCGAAGTTTTACCCAGTCCGATTGGGACCCAGTTCACCAGTCAGGACTGAGGACTGGTGCATCCCTAGTTTGATCTGAATATATATTTTCCCTTAATAAAGATTATTGAAGTAAAGAATTGATTAACGATAGTCTTGATATCAGTTATCAATATAGGAAAAGTACAGATGTTATTTATGATTGATGAAGAAATTGAAATGACACTTCGGAATATGATCCGTTCATCGGTTTTAATCGATACCGATGAATTACATTTTTTGACGTATCAATTTGAATTGGATGGTGAAAACATATCGTTAATCAATGATGTCCTAACTCGTATCAAACAGCAAGTATTGCCATATAACGAGCGAATGAAATTGAACCATCTGATTGCGAGCATGAGCCATGATAAAATTCTTTATTATCTCGGTTTCCTTGATAATATTTTTCTTTACATACGCGGCATTGATGGAGAAAAATTAACAGATAATTTAACGATTTAAAATTTTACTAAACAATTTGTTCATTTCAAACCTCATCTAAATGATAATATGTTAGGTCGTCCAAAATTTTCTGCTATTCAGTTGAAATACATAACTGATCTCTACGAGATGATTGAAAGAAATAGCATTCAATCAAGTCTTACGTGCCTATGTGAAAAAAGAACTTACAGGAAAAATATTCACTGATAAAGAAAAAGAATGAGTTCGTCAGACATTCTTTCAATCAATATTTTAAAAAGAGAAAATTAGTGAGATGCTCGAATTGATCGATGTTTGGATTTCAATGCTAAAACGATTAATGGCATGTGTGTCAAACGCCAATATTAGCTTCGAATCTTAAACTAAGAAATTTGTAGAGTGATTATGTTAATGACCATGCTCTGACAACATTTGAGGCTGGTGCTGATATTTTATTATAACATACTTATGCCATGCTAACTGGTTTGGAAAAAAAACAAAAGCTAAGTAATGCATTTTAAACACAACAACAAAAACAAGAAATTCAAAGTGTCGAGGTTCAATGACAAACGGCTGGTACATGGTTTCATCAAACGTCAAAGATGCCAATTGGTACTAAACAGACTAGTGATAAAAAGCTATCTGGAAAGAAAACTTGTGCATTGTAACGTTATACATCGACTATTTTCTTCCTTTCAATAAATCTAGAATTATAAAAAACATACTTTCCACGATGTCCAAAATGCTGTAATTAGATTTGAAGAAATAGTTCTTCTAAAAGCAATATTAGTGCTCAACTTTTCTCATGCACACTTTGGGTGTGAGTGTGGGTGTGAATATGGGCGTGGGTGGCGGTGTGAGTGTCGGTGTGGATGTCGGTGTCCGTGTGGGTGCGGATGGATGTGTGGGTGTGTATGGGTGATTACGAAAAGGAGATTACCACCCACACCCACATCCACATCCACACCCACATCCACATCCACATCCACACCCACATCCACATCCACACCCACTCTTCTATTAGTTGAGCAGTAGCCAGTAGAATTCGAGTGTTTATAGAAAAGGTATGCCAGGCTAGTTTTTATATCCACACATTCTAGGATGACTCATCTGTCTGATTCACTTTTTGAAGCACGCAACTCTCGGATTTAAATCCGAGGCTTCCACATTTATTTTTGTTTAAATTGAAATCGTCTGAACGCGTATAATCGAGTTAAAACCATCGGATGAGATCACTGCGCCCTAGTATGTGTCAAGATCTGGATCGTGAATTACTAGACACATATTCTTCAGTCACAAAAAACATCTTTGCACACTATAACGAATTGTCGTCGACTGTAAAAGCTCCTTAGTATTCTATGAATTACTTTCTTATTTATTAGCAATTACATTTTTCTTTCCTTAAAATAGAATCAAAAATTTTAATTAAATGTTACTGATTTATGATTAATCGATATTTCGTCAGACTTGCTTGAACATAAATATTTCGATGATTATTTCTCTAAAAAAAGAATACAAATGAGCTATTATATAACTAATGACAGATGATTTACTTATGATTAAAGGCAAGGTTTCACCGTGAAAATATTTTTCTCGATGTTTCAATGATCTATCTGGACAATTACTCTGTCTACGACATGGAATAAGATAATCAGGGAGATTTGTGTGACGATAATTCGCACGATGAACAGGATCACTTTTGTTTGAACAATTTTTATCGTTTGCACATTTCAGAACATTATGACGTTCATGCGTAAGATGTGGCTCTTTGGCTTTTCTTGTACATAATTCAGAAAAAGGACAAGGATGAGAAAATTGTTTAGTATGTTTCGATGAGTTTTGTTGTAAACAATATACGGAATCTTTACAAGGTTTTAATGTTGGACGTGCATCATCTAATGCCGTTGGTTCTACTGCATTTGAATTCCGACAGCACAATACATCTCTTGCTCGGCGTAAGACAACTGATGTATTTACACTTGATCGTGGATTAATGGCTAATGATCGTTCTCCTCTTGCTCGATTAGTGCTAGGAGCAGCAGGATTATTGTGAGAAGATGCAACAAGATATCGTTCAAGTAGACTTGATGTATCCCGTTTGAATTGTGTATCCAATAATGGATGTAGTTCAGGAATTGGTTCGAAATTGATTGTTAAATTTCTTACAGGAACATCTTGACTTCCAGCACTTAAATGAATAAAATCTAATTTGGATAGGTCTAACTCAGCTTTATTAAATTGGTATTCAATTTTCTCATGATTATAAATACTATTTGATCCTGCATGAGAAAGTGTTACGTGACCTGTTTTGTAGTTGAGTTTTAGACAAAAAGTAAAGTAATCATCAGTATTACAACCACGATAGAATGTATTCGATTTAGCTTTAAACTGAACTGCGTTAACATTATTACCATGTTGGTATGGCAGGCCATCATTCAAATATGTAAATGCTTCATGAAATATTTCAGTCATTGTTGAGGGCTTCTTTGCAACATAACAGATGAGACATTTCAGATTGTATTGTTCTGCACCTGCCTCAATCTGTTCATTGGTTAATGTCAACATCATATCACCGTCCGTAGCTTGCCAATAAATATAGATCGATTCGTGGCCATCTGGTGGTTGCGATTTGTCAAGATAATATAGATAGTGTGCTTGAGAAATACTTACAGGTAAAATAATATGTTCTTCGAAGTCAGAAGCACCAACTGTAATCACTATACCTCGTGAAATATGTGGTCTATCCATGCGCTGTTTGATGGCTTCACAGAGTTGTTCAAACACATATTTTGGATAAGGATAGTTAAGAATCTCTTTTGGAGTCTGGTCTCCTTTAGCCATATCACTGTCATACATGCTTATTATAAGTGAATCTTTAAAAGCTCCTTTAGCTGATTGCCGTGCTTCAGGTGAAAGCTCTTCAAATATATTCTTTGGTATGTAGACACGATCAACATAATCCAATGGAATGAGTTGAGGCAAATGACCTTCTAGTGTTTGATGAGAATCTACACTTATCCATTTTTCGTGAATAGCTTCAATATTGACATTCATTGATTGATGTTCTAGTCCTGCCCAGGCAATTAATTCTATGGCTGCTGCATATTCATAACGAGGAATAGAACAATGTAATTTTGAATGATGAAAATGATCAATACGTTTTGCTTCATTTCCAGGATCTTTCATCCATGGACGATGTTTGTAAATGTTTCCACTGTAAAAACTGGTTCCTGCTTGAATGGTAAAATTAGCATCAGGATGAAACATAATTTCTTGTTTAAACGTTATAACAATATCACCATAATAATGACCAAGATGTGGTCCTACGATACTGAACACATGCTTATCTGTTCCTAGTTTTGGATCAACTTCGTATCCGATTCCTGCTTTATTAGCATTTAAAGCAATCGATGTTTTAGCAATTTTAATTGTCCATTCGTGAATAGCTTGAATGTCTTTGCCTTCAAGAGGCGGCTGCAATTTTTTTTCCATCGTAGAAATATTTTGCTCAGAATCATGATTTGCAGAAAGCTTTCCATGTAAGTTTGCATTTGCAAATTCAATTTCAACTAAAATTTCAATGAGTTTACCCACATTTTCTCTGACTACCGGATTATTATATTTAAGAAGTATCAAACGCACTCGACTATGTTGTAGCACTGCTCTAACCACGTTTTCTTGTTTTTCTAATAAATTCATGTAATGACGACTCATAACATGCCCTAAAACAAGAATTGATTCAAAGATCTCTTTTCGACATCGATGTACAGGTTGTAATGCACGTATCCACTTGAATATTTCGGGCGAAATTTTCTCTTTGCTCCAGTTCGATCTGTCAATGTAGGTATTCACAGTTTTAATTAATTGACTTTGATTGCGAGCAAAATTAATTGATGAATTAAGATTACTAGACGGAGCAATACTAAAATGGTCATAATCTTTGTTATGCCGGTATTTTTTTAAATGTTCATCATTAAACCTAAGCGAACATTTATAACCTGGTATTTTGCACAATAAACGAATATCTCGTATATCAGGATGAGAATATGATTCTAAATGATCTTCTTTCGACAGTTTTGAACACTTATTACCATCAGGACAAAGTTGACGAGCAATATGAATCGATGTTTCGAAATGTATTTCTTCCGTAATTCTGCAGTGACGACCAAACTGACAAACGTGTGAAAATTCAAAACAATGATCTTCTACTTCTGAAGAAATATCATTTGACTTGTTCATTCGAACTAATTCAATATACTTTTGACAATTGTATGGTGTTAATGGGCATGGTGGTCGGAATGAATGTATTACATTAGCAAAATGTACTTTATCATGAAAATTGACACAACAATTATCGTGAAGACAAATAGGTCTGCAATGACGAAATGATTTCATATGATCATTATCTCTTCTCCGATATTTTAAACATTTAATACCATCTGGACAATTAGTAACGTGTCGATAAGCTAATAAATGTTTCTTACTCATATTTGTACAATCACCACCATATTCACAAAACTCTGGATGATCAAATTCTAAGGAATGTATTGGATCAATAATATTACATTCACCAGCAAACTTGCATTTGATATTATGTATAAATGTAAATGCATGAATTTCGTCATTCAATTGTTCACAAGCAGAAGTTGCCTTGGAGAGTGGACACATTGGCGGATGTGAAAATTGACTTTTATGCTCAGGATTTCGACGATCACGACATTTGGCACCATGATGACAGGGTGGAAGACTCAAAATGCAAACATCATTTAAAGTTAATTGTTCATCAACTGATTTGTCAATGATACGATTTGATCCAATAGCAGCATCAATACAAAAATTTATTGGCGATGGTACAGTTAAACCATCCAATATTTCTTGAAATGGAAGTAAATTACCTTGTGGATTAATTTTATTACCCGTATTATGATCATCAACAATAGCAAAGTAAATAGCATTGAAAAATCCGGCATATTGATATATAACAGATTTAAAAATCGAAGCGATATGACTAGGTGGATTCTTAAAAGCACCACAACCAAAAGCCGATAAAACGAGACAATCATGCTTATGATGATATGCAATAGCAAAAATATTTTCAATCTTTTTTTTTGTAGTAATCGCAAATTTATTTTCTAATGTTTTGTTGTTTTTCAATTTAGGTTCTCGATAAGCAGCCATCGCAATAGCAGAAACATTGTATAATGGACTTCTCATGAATGCATAACCATTGGCTTCTATTTGTCGAAATACTGTAATGTCAGTCGTGTAAATCGCTCCAAATTCATCCATCGGATAGAAACTATCACGTTTTAATATTGGTTTGAGCTCACATTTATCATTGCAATGCAGTCGTTCTGATGCATCATCATCAGCTATTTCTACATCAAGACTTTGATAATAATTTGAACGACGAAAAAGATTTTCTTCCTGTGCACCGTCACCTTTTCGATAACCTCCTCCAGGATTAGTTTGATTAGCCATGTTTAGTAATAAAGGTCGACGTCCTTCCGATACTAATTTCTGATAAATAATAAGACAATCTTGGTCAACTACTTTGACAGATGTCGATGCATATGGTATTTTTAAAATACTAGCTGAAGTTTTGGTTCCGTAGGATAGTTTTGATTTGTGATCGTAAACAATGGTTTGCATGCGTACTGGTTTTAATGAAATTTCTTCGTCATTAACCATATAACGTCGCTTTCGAAGAACACCTATTGTGTTTAACATGACAGTAACTCGTAATAAATGTCGATGAAGATCATAGCTTTTCGAACGTTGCTCTGATAATTCTAGTTTTCGAAATTGTTCAATCCAATTTTGAGCACTCCATTGATAATGGAAAATTGGATGTTGAGTATCACTTAACAATGGCATTATATCAGGTTTGATTTTGAGCATATCAGTTTCATACCAGTTTTCAGCATCAATTTCTGTGGTTTCTGGATCGATAACAATAGCATACGGTTTAATTTTCATTGTATTATCGCCTATATTGATAACTTCCCGTGATAAAATATCCTTATAGCTATCCATATTATCGAGTTCCAGTATAAGTGTATCATTGATATGGTTCTGGGCAGTATATCGACTCACAAACAATGGGTTATTAAAGATAAGGAGAAGGCTAGAACCACGAGGTACAGGAGAAACCAGAACTCGATAAGCAAGTGCCTTTTTCTTCGGTACATTTTGTTCATCGATTATTAAGGATTGCTCCATTAGCCATGTTTTGGCTGACTTTGTTGCCAAAATAACTGCATCACCAGTATCTTTATTATACTGTATATATAATGACGTTGCTAAAGGTTCCTTGCCACCATTCTGAGCAATAACAGCTAATCGAAGTTTCTCATTGTTAGTAGTTCGTGGTAGATTTTCAAAGAAGCTACAATCGGTACGTGGATATACAGTAGCCAGAGTACCGTCGATCTGAAAACTTGGTGAATTAGCAACTTCGGCAAGATCATCAAGTGAGTTGAAAATAACATGAAAAATGTTAGGAATTTGAGGAGCAATTAACTCACAGATAGGATCTTCTATGCTTTTGTAAGTTTGCTTGAGGTGAGCGACAAGTTTTTCAGAAGACGGCATTTTTGACATGGATGCGTTTCGATCGAATACAATGTGAGAGTCAAATTCGAGCTCACTCACAAACGATATATTTATGCTACGGTGTGGATCGAGAACAGTTGAGTGAATATTTGAAACAAGATGTATTTTATCGTCTTCATTCGTCAATCGTATCACAGCTACGCCAAGTTTTGAATAGCATTTCACGCCACTTATTTTTACACGAAGAGTGGTTTCTAAGCGAGTTTGGATTGTCTGTTCACCATCTCTGTCAGCGATGTGTGATGGTACATCAGGTACGTAAACTAAGATATCTTTATTAATGGATGACATATGCGCAGAATGTTACTGGTCGTGAGATTAATCTACAAAAACAGTTGTTTTAGTGAAGTTACAGTTCGACCAATCTATAGTTGCGCGAATACGAATACAAATTGTAATGGGCAAATAGCATATATACCCCTTCATGGTATGGGTTCACTGGAAAAAAGAGTAGAATGATAAACCTTAAAAACGTTGATCAGAATGCAATGGATAATATGCCCTTTGATCTACTACCAAAAATAGTGGAAAAAACGGTTTATTAACCTAAAATATCTGTTATAAAAGGTTTATTACAACGTTTATAGGATTCAAAAATAATTAAAGAGTACTTTATCCGTTTCATTTTCTTAAACTCTTTCAAAGGGTGGATCAAAGTTAAAAACTAACTAATTTCAATACAGATATCGGTTTATAAACGGGTATATGATAGCGAAATACCCTTATATTACCTTTCACAAAGCTAATAAAAAGCGTTTATTAGCTTCATTAAGTCGACAGCAATAGATTAACTGGTAGTTCAGAAGGTAAATCAGTTCCATTAACTACAGAAGGAAAGATCAATGGATACTTCAAAAAATTGATGAGTTTCATCGGTTTATCCGAATTTCGCCAATAAGACTTTCGCCCTTTGGACATTCGCTAATGGCGAAAGTACAGTGGGCTCTCATCAATTGGCGAACGTCCTGTACCTGTATTGGCGAAATTCGAGAATCCCGCTTCATCAATTACGCCATAAACAAATCAGAAGATAATAAACACGTCAAGAGTTGATGAAAGGGTATTTAGAACGGCTTGCAGGTATTCTCAGCGGCATTCAGAATCTCTTCAAAGCAAAAGCGGCACTTCAACGACGACTACTAACAATATGAAGCACTAGAGATGGTGGTTTAGCATTCACACTGCATTAAAGTAATGCTACCACTAATACTTTTTATTAGGATCCTAAGGCAAAAGTATTACAATTTGTATTGGCTGATATCATGCCGAAGCCGAGCCGGTATCCCAAAATTCAATGCGTTTTGTGTTATAATTTCAATGCAAAAACGTTGTAGCTCTTATCAAATTAATGCAATACAGTGTTAACTAACTAGCGGCTAAAATAATTTTGCACGAACATTGTAACACAAAACGTATTGAACTTAGTCAGAGATACCGATTCCATTTCAGCATAATATCAGTTAATACAAATTGCAATATTTTTTCTTAGGATCTAACAAAAACTAACTGTGTTAGCATTACTCTAATGCAATGTGAATTCTAAACGAGCACCCGTAGCAATTGCAATCGTTAGTAGTTCTCTCCGAATCGTCTTTCTTGTTTTTAGAGAACTCTGGGTGTCTTTAAGAATGCTTGCAACCCCTTCTAAATACCATTTCAAGGACCCCTTGTAGTTTTAAGGATAATAAGAAAACAGTGTTTATTCTTAGGACTATTATAATGCAATGCTGATACTAAACCCGCATCCCTAACAAACACTGATAAACGGCTACTGACAGCACACATGAACATAATCAAAACATTGTAATTACTAACGAAGGTCAGACAGAATGTTTCGCACCTTCAGAGAAAATAGGACAGGATACCTGACACACGCACATGTCGTAAGAAGCGCTGCAAGACAAGGAAAATCTTACGCACTTTAAAACTTGTTTCCGAACATTTCTACGAAAAAGGCGATTTGAAACGAGAACCCGATTCGATGCTTTCATTGATATTTATCCATGACGTCACCTGGCAATGGCTACATTTGAAAAAACCAAAAATAATCGAAATTTCAACTAGCTATTTCGTTTCCGTACGCTATTTGGAACGTCTAAACTGTTTGGTTCTAAAAATGAAGGCGAAAAAACGATTTAATCCAAAAAATCTCATACTATTTCTTAGAACATATAGTCAATAAAGATAAGAATATCTAACTGGGAAAAGAAAAAGCATAATATGAAAATATTTAGGGCACACCAAAAGTAGTGACGTTACCATCTTATTTCTTTAATAGAAAGCTTCAATAGATTTTATTTTTCTGACTTAATGATAGAGAAAAGGACGCTCTATCCTTGTGTGACATTTGAACACCTTTCATCTGATATCATAATAATAAAATTTGGACAAGAACTATTTTTGTGTACAGCTTCAATAATATAAGCGGCAGATTGCGAGGCAACACTTTGCATTTCTTTTCCAGTCCAGTGCTCACTCACTTTATAGGTCATATTAAAAGAGCAAATGTATTATTAAATGTGCTGTGAAAAGTTCTACAATGTTTAAGTAACAGCCTATTTTATGCGTTAAATAAGGAGCAAAAACTTTTTCTTCGTATAAGAAAAAATGATTTGTTTCGGAATAGTCAGATAGAATTTTCCTTTTTTTGGAAACAAAAGCAAGCAATTAAAATAAGTGAGCTTACAAAGATTTTAACGCTTTTCACGCTGCATCTTTTCACGTACTGTTTTTAAATAAAAGATATAAGGTGCAACAAGGATGAAATAAGAAAAAAACAAACCCATTTCATAGTAAAAAAAATATCGTTTTGGAATGATCGAAAACTGATTGCTCAACATTTTGTTGATTAGGAGAGCAAAAAGTGCAGCTATATAAAATAAGCCGTCCTATGTAGGGTGTGGGTGTGGGTGTGTGGTGTGGGTGTGGGTGGATGTGGGGTGTGGGTGTGGGTGTGGGTGTGTGGTGTGGGTGTGTGTGTGGGTGGGTGGGTGGATGTGGGGTGTGGGTGGATGTGGGGTGTGGGTGTGGGTGTGTGGTGTGCGTGTGTGTGTGTGTGTGGGTGTGGGTGTGGGTATTCTCTCGGCGATACACCCACACCCACACCTCACCCTCATACCCACATCCACACCCCACTCACACCCGCCGACATCCGCACCCACACCCTAAGAGTTCTAGAGTCCTAAGAGTTCCAAGAGTTCTAACCATTCCAAGAGTTCTAAGAGCTCTACAGTTCTAAGAATTCTAAGAGTGCTTAGAGTTCCATGGTTCTTAGAGTTCCTCACAAGTTCTGAACTCGTAGAATCCGGCCACTGCTGATTTGCTAAGACGATATTTTGTATGAATTATCGCCATTTGGCAAATCTAATCGATTTACTTGGTATTACACACAATTACAATTACGGATGAATTATTTAATGTAACAGGACTCAACTAAGTTACTTAGTTAAGTGAGTTCACTTAATTTTAAAATTAAATATTACGTGTCAAATAGAAAAAGTCAATTTTAAAATTAAACGTCTAGTGAAAACTTTCAACTTAAGGCCATTTCTCTCTTAAAAATAGATCTCAGGTGAGGAGCATCAAAATGCCATGAAAGTTTGAGGATATGTTGTTGCTATAGAAGCACGTCCATGATAAAATTTTCACCCTCTTATCCTGATGTATGAGGGCGATGCAACCCAAACAAGTGTCAAAAAGTAGTTCACTCCATCTACATGAATTCTCTGTGATCCTTCATTCGATAGGTTTGATTCCTTTTTTTTGTTTGAAAGAGCATGCCAGGATGCAGTGCCTTTGAGGGCCCTTTTTTTCAATTCTTATCTTTTCGAAGGAAAAGAACTTGGGAAGCTCAGTCGCTAAAAACCCTCTCAAAAAATTACGCTTGTAGTATAAATTGGTTTTCAATATAATGATAGGAAAGCTTTATCAAAAAATGGCTCTGATAGGCGTTGCAGTGTTTGATGCCCTGTCAAACAAAAAAAAAATATTTGACTTTATATCGAATTATAGTACACTTCCACTGGAGATGCGTCGTTCAGCTACCATTTTTAGAAAGACGAAAACCAATTTTTTTGCATTTTCAAAAGTCATTGGTTTTTCAGAAATCTTGAAAAACTTTTGTAAATATGGAGATACTAGGAAATAAATTTTATCATTTTCGAGAGGCTGTCTCCCAACGTCTTTATCTCATTTTGAGCCGTTCTGATGACACGGAAATTTTTTTCAGGGTAGCTTTAATATTAAATTAATGCAAATGATCCGTCCTTAATCATACTATTGATGCGTACAGATCAGCTTTATTTAATTCTGATTCAGTTTTCTAAATCTTCATAGATTTCAGTGAATCTCGTTGGATCCTGCTAGATTCTACTAGCTCCCACTGGATTCCACGGAAACCCCAGGCCTAGAAGTATGGACCAGTTCGCGCCGGAAAACGAAGAAATCAACAGCAACAGAATATAAAAGCAGTATTCTGACCGGGAAATTGTCGGACTTTTACCAGATAATTGCCGCTCCATTGTTCTCGAAAAGAACAGTATTTGGTCGGAATCCAGAGGAAAAAATCTGAAAGGTTTTCGGCTGGTAAATTGCTTCTGCGTTCCGTTGATTTTCCGTGTTTTTCTGTCGGAATCCATTCGTACTTCTCGACGTGAGCTAGGATTCCACTGGGTTCCGGGATTTGCTTTCTTTTCTTTTTATACCAGTTAATGCTAGTATTAAGAAGCCCTAGGAGGTTAATCCTAATGTAGCGAGCTGAGAATGCCGACTCCAACACGACTATCCACCTATAATTAATGGAAAAACGGACCGATTTTCAGCAACGTCATTTAACGCGCCTTCAAAACTCCAAGGTCAGCTTTCGATAAACAAGCACTTACCTGTGTTAGAAAGATAGTAACAGTGTGGTTTCTTCTCTTAATAAAAACTGCTTTTATAGAACAGAATGAAAGCATTGTTTTGTCGAACAACAACAGACGATGATTAGA